GTCTGCATGTGAATATTAAAAAAATAATTTACCAATTATTTTAATATTTGAGATAAATTACAATCATCCTACTTACAATGTGTTAACATTTTTAAGACTTCTGAAAGATTGATTTAAGACATTTTAAGGCTAATTAAGGCCTTATTATTGGATTGATGAATTAAATGCATTTTAAGACTTTTTAAGGATCTGCAGGAACCCTGTGAAAAGCTCACATTCGAACTCCTAATCTGATATTTCACATTTAGACTGATAAAAAGAATCCTGTTTTTGGTCACACATGGGTGAAAAAAATCTGATTTCATTCACTTTTACCTGCGTTGTGAACACAGTCCAAGTAAAACTGGCGAAATGGAGAAAGCCAAGTGAATCCACGTAGTTTTGTAAAAAAATAAAAGGGCCACCCGTACCGTTGAGTTGGGAGATTTCCGTGTCTTTGGCTTGCTGCAGTTTACTGTAGCGCTCCCTGTGCTCGTCCAGCAGCCGGCCGTGGTCCTCGCCCTGCACCTGGTGCTGCTCCTGCAGGTCGTAGTACTGYCTCTTCAAGTCGTCGTGCTGATTCTGACACAAACAGGAGGTGAAGGGGGACTCGACAGCGACACGCAGCACGAGCATGAGTCTGCTCTGCTTACCTTTAACATCTGATGCTGCACTTGTAAAGAGTTGTATCTGCTGTTCGCATCTTGCTGTTGGAACATAAAAGCCCAGGTTAAAGCCCACACATGCAGCGTAACTGACAGCAGTGAAGGAGGGAAAATAGAGMGGAGGTAAGAAAACATACCTTCTCCTTGTTTAGCGATTGTTGGGACTCCATTTTATAAACCAAATAATCTAGAAACAACATTTTTTTGAATTTGAAATGAAAGTGTATTAATTTTAGGGAAAAAATTGTATTTTACAGTCTTGTGTGTTCATAAAATTATACTTATAACATGTAAAACATAATAATGATTATTAATACAATTAATACCCATGAATTTGATTTTTTTTTCACCTTCTTTGGCCTTTTTATGCTCTAACCTCTCCTTCTGAAGAGACTTCTCCAACCGGGAGCGATGCTCATACACCACTGCATAAACAAAAAGTAGAAAAGAGAGAAAAAAAGAACATTTAAAAAAGAGAAGGTAGAGATTTAGACCGTGTTTTGAAGTCCACTAGGCCCAGGTAAGGAAACTCAAACAAGGCTATAACACAAAAAAGTGTATTGCCATAAAAATATGAGCTCACAGAAACTTGAGCATTTGTTCCAAGAGGCAGACAGTGTGAACTTTATTGGCTGATATGACAGTCAGGCGTGATATTTGCTTAGCCCGACAGTGATCTCAGTAAATCTTTGTCCAAGAGAATACTGCAGCTTTCTGCTGGTGGAGGGGGGATGTAGGTTTGAGATGCTGCTACTTGATGGCTACTGTCTACTTCACGCAGCAGTGACATCCATGGTGAAATCCTGACGTWTGTCTTTGTGAAAAAAGTATATGTATTTTTAAGTTACCCAAGTATAATTTCCATTTGTTTCAGCCTTCTAATTACTGTCAAATTACAGAACAAAACATACTCAGAGTAAACAGTTATGCAGAAACCATCTGGAGTTAATGTCATCCCGTTTGTAAGAAAACACTAAATCTTTCTCSTAAAAATCCAGAATAAAGCCTGAACATAAACACATTCATGTATATTATTATGTCCTTTAAAATTTGATTTAAAAACATAATGCTGTAAATGACTGTAGTTGTGACCTATTGAAAAACACATTTTCTGCCGTCTCAGTAAAATGTCATAACAATCGCATTTTTTTTTCAAGTTATTCTAAAGACTTATTCAAGCTAGGGGTGTCCCAATCTGATATCATTATCAGATATCGGACAAATATTAGCCAAAAGATGAATATCGGATCATACTGTATATGCCTGCATCTAAAACCTCTTATATTAGTACTCTGATACAAGCAGTCCACTCCAGTGGTCTCTCAGGATGTCTATCCAGCAGAGCTTGGATCCAGTCAGAGATGTGTGCAAGTCTTTTTTTGAAAGTCCAAGTCTTTGGCTCCAAGTCCAAGTCAAGTCCAAGTCTTTGACCAAAAATCCAAGTCAAGTCTCTAAACCTCAAGTCCATGTCTAGTTGCATGTATCACTTAACTGGCAGTTTGATCAAAGGTATTCTTACTATACTAGATTATATTCTATAATACTATATTTTAATCAAATATTAAAACATATTTGGCATAGTTTTAATAATACTGTTAAAAAGAATAATGTTTTAAAAATAGAAATAAGGTTAAGGTTGAAATAACAGCAATCAAGCATTTAGAATATTGTTAACTGTATTTTGCTCTTGTAGTCTTACTGAAATTATGGATGTATTCAGACCTGGAAAGTCCTTTGGTCCACTTGTTTGGTCCGGACCAAAAATTGACTTTTTTTT